TTATTTTAGAATTTGAGTTATCAATTTATTAAAATTTAATATTTTATCATGTAAAGCCATTGTTAATAACTAAAACATTATAATTTGTAAATATATTTTTATTGTCATTATTTTATTTAGCAATTTTAATATGCAATTTTATAAATCAAATGTAACAGTAACAACAAGCAAAATTTAGACAAATATGAACCCTCATATGAATTTTGCATAATGAAAGATCCATTACAACCTATATAATCACATTACATATTGCTTATACAGTACTGTAGTAACTGTATTGCATTTTATCCCAATTTATCGAAACCCTTTCCAAAACTAATCTCAGACACTATTAATAATAAAGTAATACAAGTCACAATATTGTATTTGTAATATATGTACCGGAATTTAATTACAGTAATGAGAATAACAATTATTTTATCTCTAATTTTTAGTCTCTAAGTTTACTATACTGTACAGTGTATAGTACAGTATACACATAAGTTATTTGATAGTGTACTTTTTTATTTAATTAATGAAATATGATGGAATATTTGCCTTATCCATTATTCAAGTTATGTAACATAATGGAGCATAACTACAGTAGGGTATTTGGATATTATTATACCGCAATAGTTATTATTTAGTTAATAACTAAAGTGACCGTAACTTATGCACAATGTTTGTACTCTTTGAATGACAGCTGCGGCCGAATGTATGGAGAATTTGGCGGACATTCAGTTCAAATGGGGCGACAATTACGATAAGAGGGAGTCGTTGGCGAGTCTATTGAGGGCCTCGAAGTACTACAAGAAAGCGTGTCAACCGAAACGGGCTCTCATTGTGTTGAAGCGAGTGATCACTATCTTAGAGCTCTCGCCCAAGAATGACAAGTCAGTCATTGTCGACAAGTATGAGGACTGTATCCAACTGTACCGCTCTCTCGACTTAAACCATTTGGCAAATGTTTGCCACAAAATATGCAAATCTCTGGACGAAGAGAAGACTGATTTCTGTACTTTAAATGTAATATCAATTTCATTCATTCATTCATTCATTTTCAACAATATTGATGATAATGTGTTCGTATAGATCTGTAAATTAGAGTCATATGAGCTGTCAATGCCGTCCCGCGTGTCCACCCCTTCCACTGTTGTAACCAATTATAGTGACGACGAAGACTCTGATAATAATGATTGGTTTGGCGGTAAGACTGTTAAGGAATCGATTGAGAGTAAAGAGTGGGTTCAGCAACAGATCCGACTTCTCGATCAGTCCAACACTTGTGCCGACAGACCCCACAAAGACAACAGAGAGGATAGTCAGCAGATATGCGATGACGAGACACAAGTGGACCAATACATGTCACAAAATCTAAAGTCAAACGTGAGTTATAGTTGTTTTAAATACGATAATAAAATAATCTATTTTTGTAATTTAGTCTAAACTTAAATCCAATCAAACATTGCGTAAAAATTTAAGACAACTTTTTGCTGAAACCAATGATGAGAGGATTGCATCAAAAAAAGCAAAACTCCTCATCAAACCAGAGAGTGAACTCTTTTCTACACCGATAACAACTGAGATAACGGCCATACCAGTGGCCACACCTACTCCACTGAGGGCACCCACACCCACACCAATCGCCGAATCAAATGGCGAGCAACAGACGAAAGCTAAACGAAAGCGTCGTTTGAAACCCAAAGAGTTATCGGAAGAGTCGCCCGAAAAGCGTTTAATAAAGTTAAGAAAACTTGATATCGAAAACCAGTTCTGTATTGACCCGAAAGCGCCGACTGAGCGCCTGTTATGCACCCTTTGCGACGAATCCATTCTGTGTTATCGTTGGTCTATAGTGACCGACCACTTGAAGGGACGCAAACACAATGACTTTGCTGCGAAGGAACGCCTAAAACTACAACACAAAGACTTGCCATTTAATAGCAATATGGTGTCTACCAGTGCTTTGTCAGACTTTGCATACTTTAATAACCCGAATGGTGTGCACAAAGATTC